GCTCTTCCGATCTCCCCAAAACCCCAAAACCCCAAAACCCCGCAAAGAATATTTATCATGAAATGAGCGTTAGAATGATTGTAAATTAAAATATGAAAAGTACATAATTTAGCTAGAGATAGACTTAGTCTACGACTTATCCATTCAGAAATGCTTCACCAAATCAAAGAGCTTACTATGAAAGTCCCTCAGGAAATAATTATGATAATAGTGACAACAATACTGCTACGAATCAAAGCAGATTCCCAGTTAATTTGAATGTAAGAGCTAATCTTCTTGACTAATGCAATAATCAATATGAAGAGAATTTCAGAAATAACAACAGCTCAAACTACAATCATAACAATGGTGGTAACCCCATTAATAATTACTCGCAGAATCAGGCTTAGTATGATAGCACATTCGATCGTAAAGATCACAGTAAAGAGAGAAGCAATTATTATCAATCACCATACTAAAATGAAAACTCAGTGAGCCCCGTTCGAGAAAATGGAAGAGAGGGTATTGAGGAAACCATTCAGGGAAATATAGATGGTGCGATGACCATTTAATAGATCAAAAATAAAAAAGCCTTTGTTTGGGCATTTGGTAAAAACCAAGAAGGTGAACTAGCCTTGGGAGTATATAAAGATGCTCTTTTGCCTCGATTTGTGACAGGTGTCAAGGGTCTTACTGCTAAATGGATTTCAAGTTCAAATCATCATACAGCCTTGATTACTTAAGAAGGCCAGTTGTTAGTCAGTGGTAGTTCTCTTCATGGAAAGCTTGGCATTGAAAATCTGAATAAGACTAATATCAATAAATTCTAACTTGTTCCATCTCTATCTAGAAAGAAGGCGAAGTAAGTAAGTTGTGGTGATTATCATACATTATGTTTAATGGAAGAAGGTACTGTTTATCAATTTGGTGGCTCTTTATTTAAAGATAAAAAAGATAAGATACAAAGACTTTAAAATCCTTAGTAATAAATACCACCTAATGTCCCACAACCTATTTAAGCATTATATGGTAGAGAAATTGTTTAAATTGATTGTGGTGATTTTCATTCAGCTGCTTTAGATGCTAATGGAGATTTATATACATGGGGAGGAGGTGCTCCTTCTTATAATAAAGGTTAATGCGGTCATGGACATCAAAATGCTCTTGAATACCCAGAAAAAGTGAAGTATCTTTCTTCTAAGCGAATCATAAAAGTAGCTTGTGGTGGCTTTCACACCCTAGCATTGACATCTGAGAATGAACTATATTCTTTTGGCAGTGGAAATTACGGTGAATGTGGCTATGGTGAGTTTTTAGATACATCAAAGCCTAAATTAGTGAAGTTTCCACACGATTAAATAAACAGCAATAGCAATGTGACTGATGATTTGGAGGAATTTAATAATGACTAAGAATTTGTACTTGAAATGTACTTGAAAGAGTAGCCTATGATCACTGAGATTGCTGCTGGTGGTAGACACTCTATGGTACTTACTAACAAAGGGAGATTGTACAGTTTTGGATATGGAACTAATGGTTAACTCGGACTTAGAAATACCTCTAACTTTGCAAAGCCATAATTAGTCAAGGACTTGATTGGAAAGTAGGTGACTTAAATAGCTGCTGGTTGGAATCATTCTCTAGCAATGACTGACAAAGGAGATGTCTACGCTTGTGGTTATGGTGGTCATGGTTAACTTGGTTAAGGCGATAAAGAATCTAGAACTTATTTCAGCTATATTTAATCTCTTGGAAACAAAAATATTGCAAGAATATTCGCAGGTGGAAACCACTCTTGGGTGGTATTAGACTCAGTGATGCCAACGAGAGATAAGTGGAATGTGCCTTCTCCTGTTAAAAATTCAAATCACAACGACAACTCAAGGTCTAATACTCCTCACAGACCTCTTGGTGATTTTTCCAATACAATAGGCAACGGTATGGGTAATAATAATTAACAAAGTGGCTCAAAACCTATGAACAGATCGAGTGTTTCGCCATTTTAATAGAGAGCAAGTACAGGACCTAATGATGGCCATCCCAAGCAAAGTCAAATGTCCTCAGCAACTTTTGGAGGACTAAATTCCAGTTTTAATTAAAAGTAGTAGCCTGGTGCCGCAGACAAAAGTATGTACAATCCAAATACCTCTCAGTCTTAAATAATTCCCCAAGGAGATGATTTCATTCAAAAGATAATAGAAATACAGCATTAACAGCTTATGAAAGCTTAGTACTTCTTGCAAGTCACCTATTGTGAGACTGAATATTGCCACAGATTTGTTAACTTTGAAGTTCATGGGCAATTCGTAAAGTAATTTGAATCGATGCTTGAAGAGTACATCTAATAATCCTATCAACTAGAAAAAGGAGTTCTTTATCATAAGGTTCAAGAAGTGCCTTAAGAGTTCTTAACTAAGAAAGCTAGCATTTTAACTCCAGGAGACAGAATGATCAGAGAGTAGTAGAATGAATTTGATAACGACCCAGAGTATAGCGACCTAGATGATAGTTTTACTCCAGAAGAGGGGCATAAAGGTTATACTCTCTGCTTGATATGCAATCCAAATGTTTGCGGATATGATGACAGTTTCAATGAGTGGAAGAGAAATAATGGGATTATTGGCAAAGGAAAGAAAATTGTAGTCAACTCATCTTCATTCTAAGGGTCCACTGGGATCAGAGCAGTAAGCGGAGATGAAAACTAAGCACCACTGATAGGAAAGATAGTTTTCGTAAAGGACTCAGACATTGATAGCAATCCTTTTGAGGACACTATTTGCAAGTGGATGATCAACTTCCACAGAAAGCTAGCTAAATATTGTATTAAGAAACCAAGATATAGTGAACTTAGACCTATGAAGTTCTCCTTGACATGAAAATCTTGATTCTTGAGTGATATATATTAACAAACTTAAATATCATCTTTATAAATGCTGATATGATTGCAATTATCAAATAAAATCAAACTGAATTATTACAATTATTGGCAACATTAAACTTAATTTAACAGTTAACAAGTTATAGTTAGTTTAGTTTATTCAGATTATTGATTCTCTTTAATGTTTCTACTCATCACTGCTTAATGCTAATATTCATATTAGCAGCATGATTCATGACTAGTTTCCCATTTTTAACAGAAAAGGAGCGTTCTTTTGAAGAGCTTTGAGGCTTTATATTGTTTTACCTACTTTTGTCACCCTAAACCAGAAAACTGTCTCGCTTTTAACTATGAGAAGTAACAGCTCTGATGTTTGTTATATATCTATCTGGCTCATACTCTGGGATTGGTGCTGAATCATTATAATAAGTGAGAGCTGTATTAACTTGAGAGCTATATTTTTGGCCACCCCCTGCTGTCTAAGCTCTTTTATTAGTATGTATTGAGGTATCATTATTGCTAAACTTTCTTATGCCAATCCTGGTTTGGCTATTTGAAAACTCACTCATATTATTGATTAGGTTTTCAATAGGAGCAGTCATAATTTGATGGAATCTTTCAGCTTCTTCACTTTGATTTTCTTTTGTTGTTGCATTTGAAAAGTAACTGATTGATTAATTGGCACCTAATGAAAACTTTTTATTTTTCAATTAGTGCTCCAGATTGCCAATTGCTGCTCCTACAAAACCTCCAGTACCAAAAACTTACTCAAAGACTGTAATTAAGGTCTCTTTGTTAAGTATTACTTGCTCCATCAAAGCTTGGTGGTCTGATGATGTACTTTCGACTATCATATTATTTGAGAACTTAGCTTGAGAAGCATTCATTGCTTTTTTCTTTAATAGATCTCGTTTGCATTCATCAACACAATCTAAGAACAGATTTTCTATTTCTGATTTTTCTGAGTAATCTTAGGCTTTATAATTCTTAATCTTTAAGTTGTTTCGCTTCTGATTTTCTAGTCTCCTTTGTAATGTATCTATCCTCTCATCCCTAGAAAGGTCATATAGCTTGAAAAATTTGGCTATTTTAAGCTCAATTTTTTCTTTTGAGTAGCCTCTCTTAAACAAATCTTGCACAAATTCTTTGATCTTAAAATCCTAGGAATCTTAGGAAAGCATCTCGTGAGATATCATATTCTTTTGCATTTATAATAGATTCTTTGCGGTGTAGTCTTAGTTGTTATTTGGGATGTTCTAATCGTTAATTTCTGTAGGTACTTACTGAGTAATAAAGGGCTCTCTAAATTACGCCATAGTTTGATTGATTATCTGCCTTGGAGATAATTAACATCTATCAGGACTACCCGGTCTAGGTCTCTTAACTTTATTCTTTTCAAGGAATTCCCTAATTAGTTTATTCTGCTGAGTGGTCTTCTTCAAAGCAACCTGAAGTAATTTGTTATGTTTCATAGCATCTTTTGTTTGTTCTTTCAAAAATTTTCTGTCCTCATTTATGTTAAGCTCCTTGCTTTTAAGTTTTTACACTTCACGCTTTTAGATTTCAAGAATTCGATCAAGGTTGATGGCAGCACTTTTGAACCTGCCAATCTAATCTTAAAGATTAGTGATGGAATCATCATTTAAAATCTTTCCAGCCGTTTCACTAGCTTTGTTTCGCAGATATTATAACTCTTTTTGAACTTTGACCATATGACCCTATCAAAACATTATAAATTAATCTGAACTCAATTGGTGTAAGATTACTTACTCTGTATGCATTTACAAAATCATTTTCATGTCTATTAAGTACATTTCCAAATTGATCTTCAATACCATCCACACATTTTTCTAACTTTTACTAAGTTTCAATATGTGGCGCTCTTTGTCTTTCCAATAGCCCCGTTACAAATAACTGCTATTACAATTCCTGTTCCAATTACTACGATGCTTTTTTGCCCTTGAAAAAATTGGCATCACTATCCATTTTAGAGGAACTTTACTTCGAATACTGACTGCGAGAGCGTTAGTCAATGGACATATTAGTATTTTGCACGTAAGCCTAGGTGATAGAATTATTCAGTTAATCAATCACATTTATGCTATTCACTCTTTCATTCAAACTTGAATGCTTACTCATTTTTTTCATAATAAATTTCAAACCTATTATCGTATTTTAATTTATGTTTAATTTAGTTATAATAAAGAAACAAATAAATTTAAATGCATGTATTATAGCCTTGAGGGATAATTAAAATTATCTATAAAATCAAACATCGATGCTAGCTTCTTTCACAGAACAATTGTGGTCAAAGAATGTTTCTATTATAGTAATTATCTTGCCTTGAGGGTGGCTGTATGACACTCTAGACATTGCTTCTGTCTACGTAGCCATTATTATACTTATAGTTATAAACAGGCGGCTTGCTAGCGGCATTATTACTGCCATAAATTTGGTTCAAGACTCTTGGGTTGTTATTAGTGATATTAACTGCATCGACTTTATATTTATTGCCAGCAGCCAGAATGGCAGCTCCTCTATTCTGTAGATAAGACTTATCATTTATGCTAGGTAGTTTTAGATTTTCTTTTTCACCAGCACCACCATTATAGCCTTTAGGTTAGTTCTTCATTCTATATTGATAGTACAAAGCATTTGTATTTTTAGTTCCTGGATCTCTTGCGGGATCTGCTGACCTGGCCTCATCTCTTTCCTTTATTGGCTAAAGGCCTTTCAATCCATGATCATTGGAAGGCTTGGCACTCTGGAGATTTTCTCTCAAGTTGCCTAGTGGCTGTCCAATTCTGCTAGGTTCAGAGCTGTTCCTCTTGAGTTATGATGGATTTTATGATGGGTTAGAATTATATTATGGTTTGGGTAGTCTTTCAGTAATCTAACCCATATTTCTTGGTACTTTAATGGTACCGATGAGACCCTCCTTGCATTCCTCGACAAGGGATTCCATTCTTTGAAGGGTTGCAGACAAGTGGTTTTAGGTACCAGTCATCTAGAGAATTTATGCGCATGAGGGGCGCTGAGATGGATTTTATTAGAGTAAGCACTTTATCATGTCGACGAGATCCTTTGAGTAAGTTGAGGGAATCGGGGGGTAAATTCCCTTACATATTTTCTGGCAAAGGCCATTCATGTCCTGTGCTCTGAATGGTGGGTTCAAAGCGCACATCTCATAGAGAACACAGCCTATGCTCCATATATCGCTCTTTGAATCATAAGGCTTGTCCTTCCAAACTTCAGGTGAGGCATAATAAGGAGTACCAGTTTAGGTTTGAAGCATTCCTCTTTTTGCAACTTTAGAGACATTGAGGTCGCCCAATTTGATGACGCCGTCTTTGGTTGAGAACAAATTAGCGCACTTGATGTCACGATGAACAATCTTTAGCTCATGTAACGCTTGTAAACCTCTGATAATCTGAATAAATAGGTGCCAGACTTCCTTCTCAGGAATGTATTGGCCTTTTTTCTTATACTGAACGATCTTGTTATACAGGTCACCTCCATCAGCATATTCCATTATAATGCAAAGACTAGAAGTCGAGTCCTCATAAAAAGACTCCTTGTAGGAAATGATATTTATATTTCTAATATAGTCGTTAGAAAACATTTCATATTTTATAAGTTTAATAGCTTACTGAATGGAAGCGAGAATTCTGACTTCGTTAAGTGCGTTTTGCTTCTCCTTTTCTGATAACCCCATCATTTTGACCTAGAAATAAATTTTACCCTGGGGCGAAATTACTTTTTTAAGGGCGTACTCTTTATTGTCGGATAACCTTCTGGCCTTGAAGACAGTACTGAATGCTCCCTCACCTATAGTCAGTGAAAATTAAATTTTTCAGTTATTTGCAGTGAGAAATTACCTAGTTTGTTAATTATTTGAAAATTGTTCATTTTTTGAAATACTTTATTGTTACTTATGAATTTTCAATTTATACTCAACCTTTTGAATCATGGGGTTTTGGGGTTTTGGGGTTTTGGGGTTTTGGGGTTCATCTTAAACAGTGCCT